TAGGCATTATAGAATCTAGGTTTACTATGAATATCTAGTGAGCACCTAATTAGCAATTTATTCTCTTGCCCTTATTTATTGAGGAACGTTCTATAGAAACTCAGTACATCAGTCATGGTGGTTTTCAGTTACATGAGCCCCATAGCAATTATGGAATCTAGGTTCACTATAAATATCTAATGAGCACCCAATTAGCACTTTATTCTCTTGCCATTATTTATTGAGAAAAGTACTTTAAAAACTTAGTACATACGTCATGGTGGTTTTCAGGTCCATGAGCCCCATAGGCATTATAGAATCTAGTTTCACTCTGAATATCTAGTGAGCAAATAATTATCACTTTATTTTGATTGCCTATGTATTAGTTTACGAGCATTTCAAGACTTCATTGTATATTGTTAATTTTTTTCTCAAATCAGGTATCTCGAATTTTTTTTTCCGCTTATTCATGGTCGTTTGCATCTTAATTTCTTGCAAGCACCTAATTAGCACTTTATTACCACGCTTAGTTTATGTCTCTTTGAGCATTCGTCCTCGTTTTCGAGAGACCTGATTCTTAGATTTGTTTAGCGAAATTGGAAGCTTTTGTATATTAATTAGAAAATTTTACGATCCTAACCGTTCAGCACTTAATTAGCACCTAATATTGTTTCCTTAACATTCATTATTTTATTATTATTTACATTGTGTTGCTAGCATTACATAATGCTAGCAACGCAACTTTTAGTATTGAGTTGCGGTGTAAGTTACAGAGCATCTAATTTTTGACTTCGGTACCTAAAAGCACCTGAAAAATACTTAATTGTGGCATTTTCTGAATGCGATTTCCGTACTTTGCGTCGCTGGCGTATCACAGCTGAAATCGTTACGTGCAGACGAATACTGATAAACTGGTAAATGAAACCGACTCGTTATTCACAATTTAGTACTGCTATACAAGACGAAATATAGTTTTTACTGTTCTGAATATCGTGAGTACACCTGAGACCTGCTACAATTGAAAATAATAGGTGGTAGCGTTCACAGTTTTATGTATTCGCTTTTATGCCGACACTTCTGGAAACAATAAATATCCTACGATCATCAATTTGATGGCGCATAAATACCCATATTCATCATTTATGTCAGACATGGGTCGATCATGTATATCTAAAAAAAACACGACACAGTCAGTGACAAAAATGAAGCTATAAATAATAAATCGGATGATCGTGATCATATTGGAAATCGTGATTTTCTTTTGCTTTGTTTTCAGGAAAAGTCATTTGGTGAAGCTTTCTAGTTAGTCTGATAATGGAGGTATGTTTCTATGATTCGAAATTTTTCCGAACTGAGTATCTGATTGTGCATTATACGGGTTGAGCCAATAAAAACGAATCACAAAAATCGCCTGGATACGTCCATTCTTATTTTAATGGAGAAACAGGTTCCAAGCTCACCACTTCAAATCTCTTAGCAAAATGCAATTCGTTTCTTGAATTCTGGAGAGGCTACGAAGTTTTCGTTTGTGAAAGAACGATACTTGGTTGACGAATTGTCTAAAAAACAAACTTCGAACAGATTGTACTTTGAAAAGAGATTGGAAATCAAGTGATGCCTTGGTTGAGAGATCAGTAATTTCTCTTCTCCACAGTACCTACTTACTTTCCCATAGTTTGTTGTTTTGAAGCATTGTGGACTCTTTCGTTTGATTGGTACGGGTACCTAAGGTAACACCTTTCATCCTCTTATGATTTTAAGTTAACCTTTCAATTTAACTACCACACAGTCACAAATCAACTTCCTCAACTGATATTCTCTGATGGAATTTAACAAAAATGCGTTTCTGAATTTCAAAATGATCCACAGTCTGGCTTTGTATAAAACTTTTTCCAAGTGAACGTTCCGGGTAAGTTTTTTATCAAGGATAATGCCAAGATATTTCAATTCCATTCCAAATGGAATGACATCACCACCATTGGGAGAAAGTGACGTTGAATCGTCGAAATTTTCTCCTCCTGGTGAAGGGGGTTATTAGAGTTTTGCTGAGGTTGACAGACATCTGCTCCCTCGGGCACCAAATGTGAACAACGTCCATTGTGCTTTGGAGGTGTTACAAGCTACCCTTTCCGACGTGGACGTTGCCAAGATGACAAGGTCATCTTGGCATAAGCTTGCAGATCTACTTTTCTTCTGTCGAGGCTATCAAGCAGACTATCCATCAGGAGTGATCACAGAAGGGGAGATAGTACCTCACCTTGAGGGCAGCCTCGGGTGACCCTGAACCTAATGGTCATGTCGTGAAGACTTGTAGTTGCAGTTCTGTTTACCAGCATGGCACAGATCTAGCCAGTTAATGTAGATTGTATGCATTTTTTAGCCAGAGCTGATGCTATATAGATTTAGGTAGCGCATTGTCAAATTCTTCAATATCGAGCAACCGCAATCTCCTTGTCAAAAAAAGTGACTCTATACGTAGATATGTGAATCATGCAAAGAAGTAACACATTTTTTGTATCGAGATGAAGTAGTAGAAATCCAAAAAACTTTCTTTCCCAAATAATAATCACTCCTAAAAATATAACCCTTTCAATTTCTTGAATTTATCGCATTCAGAGAAACAGACAAACGGAAACCATTGTCAATCCTTTTCAAAAAGGTTTTTCTCTATCACATCCAGTTGGTTCAGGCTCCACTCTCTCGCGATTTATCATCAAAATGAGTTTCATCAATGGGTTCTTAAAATACTGAATATTCTTCATTTCATAGTGGAATTATTTCACTTGTGAAACCTAATCGTTCAAAAATGCCATCCCTAACTTCTAACAACTTTTGGGCTGATGAAACACATGTAAACTTTAAATTCTGTCACCAAAAGCATTTTTCCGTTAAGAATATTCGGCCCATGAAAAGGTAGCCCATTATTTTTTGACATTTTCCAAAAAACATATTTTTTCAAGGAGTTGAATTAAATACACGGATTTCATGCATTTCTTCATCTTTCTTTTCCCATGATGAAAACACTCTTCTATGAATATCGAACAAATAACTTTTTTGTGGCGCAAATTGTAGTTATTTATCGACATCTTTTGTTTTTCAGGATTTTTATCAGATTTTGACAAGTAAAAATTTTCAAAAAATTCGATAAAAACTCATATTTGATTTTTGACATGCTTTTCTTGTCGTGCCAAAAACAACCAACTTTTATAGATTGCGGTTGTTGAGTCGAAAATAGATGAAAATAGTATTACTCTTCATTGATACGGAGTACGTATATGGTCAAATAAATGTGAATACTCATATACCCTTTCGCTGTATCAAAAATGTGAAAAAAATGTCTTCTTGGAGATATCATTATTTTTTCAGAACGGTAGTTTTGATAAATGACACTTCACTCCGGATGAGTCGCTGATATGGCTTTCTGTACCTGTATTCATAACTGAAAAGTGGTTATGGGGACCATAATGATTCGTTACTTTGCGATTGATGAACGATTGCGAACTCTCATTATTTTTGTTTGAGGCTTCGAAATAATAACATTAATTGATGCATGGTGAATTTTCTATGACAAATCTCTCAAGAAAAAAATGTTTCAAAATATTGCTAGGAAGCAGTACTTGACAGCAATAAGGAAGTTGATACGTGAACGGCTATAGTTTCAGTGATCGAATTTTTCACAAACTAGGAACCAAATTGGAATTTCAGAGGCTACAGTTCTTATCTTGGACCTCAAATATACACAACTCCTTTGGCTGATTGTTTTATGCATTATTGGTACTAGTCTACTGTTCGGCAATATCTGGTCTATGGATTAGTTAATGTTTCAAATTGGGTGATTTGAACTAAAACTGTTAGTCTGGTGGATTCCCAACATAGCTGGATTTTACCAGTGATTCCAATTATTTCATCAACTTTTTCGGTATTTCCAATCATCCTCCGTTTTCTCTTTCAGTAAATAGCAGTTATCTCCCTGATAAAATAGCCCTATCGTCCACAAATCTAATTAAATTCTCTTTAAGAACAAATTCAGCTCTTTAACATATATTGTGAATAAAATTGGCCCGAGAATTGTACCCTGTAGTAACCCCATAGGTGATATTCCTGAATCAATCCCCAATTTCAATATATTGCCTTCTTCAGGCTAGGACATCCATCAACATCACCTACTAATATTTTTGTAATTTAAGATTTTCAAAATGGTAATGTCACATTTAATGATTCAAGCGATTTTTTAATCCCTATACATAAGCAGATAGTCCTCTTCATAGAATTATATTCACGACTCAATATTATCATGAATAGAAAATATTGATATATACCAGAGAATATATAAAACATATACAAATATTTAAATTTCTGGTTCCGAAATCACGATTCTACCACATGAACAGTTTATTACTCGTCTCTTGCTAATTGTTTCTGAAGGCATGCCTACCGTGCCTATATTCTAGGCACGGCACAAATCAACAAAAAATATCCAGATGATTGTGTGCCAATGATAATGCCAGCAAGAACAAAACTTTTTCATGAAATTTTGTTCCCCCCTTCTGGGATTGATGTGTGCTAGAGGGAACTGCCAATCTGGCTAACGAAGACAGTTGCTTCTATTATAGTTTTGACATATTTTCCTAATTCGAAAGGAACCCCACACTATCGATAAAACATATATTCATATGGTATGTTGACATGTAATAAGTTTTGTAGATCCTTTTTTTTTTCTTTTCAGAGAAAATGCAAAAATGTAACTCACAGAAAAATATCATCATCAATTCTCGGTCACATTTGGAATGTGCAAAAAGTCATTTGCCAAATGGGATTTGTGTGGTTTTGTGATAAGCCGATTAGCCTCATGAAAGTTTACAGTCTGTATTGAGTTAAATTTTGTTTAGAATTCGAAGCAATCGATTCTTATATAAACTTGTACAGAAACCACACTATTCGCAGTACCTCGTTTTTCATAAATCGAGAGTGTGAAAAACATTGAAAAAACCTTTTATTGCTGGTCGTTTATATTCATTTACCTGAGTAAAAGCGTTCCATCAGTTCCTCTCTCGGGACCATAATTTCCCGTTCCACACAATCGACTGACAGCCGATTTCCGACGCATATCCAAGGTGGCTGTGTCGTCTCTGCTGAAAGACACGCGCGCCGACTGGAACTTCGAAGACAGACTCGTCCTGCTGGGTAGTGTTGCATTGGAAACATCTGCAATTATGAAATAACTTCTTGAAATTCCGAATAAAGCAATGAGTGAAATGTTTGAACGATGAAAGACACAATAAACTGAGTTTCAAAAAATCTTCTCCAGTAATATTAATAATAATAGCAGTAATAGATTATCCGGTCAAATTAGACTAAAAAATAAGAGTGAAGGTACATACATTTTCAACAAGCTGCAGATGCGTGTAATTGTTCAAAACATAGTTCAAAATAGGATTTTAAAATTCCGAATAATTGCGATGCCTGGAAAAAAATTTATTTGAGGTCAAAGGTCAAAAATCTCAAACAAAAATGGTTTTTCGAGATTTTCAGAAAAACGGTAAGTTTTATCATAAAAATTGTAGATCATAAAATTCTCTACAAAAACTGTTTCAATACTTTTTTTTAGAGCCACCGTTTCTGAGATACGACGAGTCAAAAAGTTGTAAAAGTTGTAATCGTCATTATATGCATAAGTATGCCACGTATATACATCTCTGAAGTTGTAATTCCAGTAAAAATATTTTTCTATTGGTATACATAAGTATAAATATAAGAATATCAGGTAGAATGAAATTCAGTCCAGAAATACAAGTATTGTTGTTAGTGAAGATGTATACTTACTCGTACTTCTTACTGTTCGAACTCCATGTGAAAAAACTATTTTCTTTCTAAAGCCAGGAAAAGCTCAAAGTCAAACCGAAATATTTTCGTCAAAAAGTTTATCTACTTTTGCAAAGAGTCAAAATCATGTATTATTTTTACACGCAATAACTGGCTGTGATACGACGTCTGCATTTTACAGGAGGGGTAAAGCAACAGTCTTTGAAATGTTTTAAAAACAAGATTTAGTTCAATGTGCTGAAGTTTTCAAAAAAAGTAATTCGACTCAACAAGGAATTATCATCAACGGGATTCAGTTTCTTCTTTCTATGTACAAAGCTCCGAATAAAACCACCAGCTTAGATAAGTATCGATATGCATGTTTCGTAAAAAACACTAAAAATAAGAAACAGGTTCAATTAGCTTGTCTTCCTCCAACCTCAGTTGCTGCTCATCAACATCTTTTCTGGGTATATTACCAAGTTCAAGTGTGGCTTGGTTATCAGCTAGACCCAACAGAGTGGGGTTGGAAGTTGGTCGACAATGCATTAGAACCTATTCAGAATTTACTTCCACTTGCGCCGGAAAAATGCTGAACACAATTTTTTGCAACTGTAAAAAGGGATGCAGCGCTGAATGTGGTTGTAAAAAAGTTGGACTGTTGTGTTCTCTGGCATTTACACATTGTCAAGGTCAGTCATGTTCTAATGCTGAATCACCAATAGTGGAGGATTCATTTGATACCAACGAGGAAACATGTATAGATACATGGATACATCACTCTTGACGCAGTTTACCTACATCCAGGATGAACATCAAGAAGAAGAAGAAGATCAAGAAGAAGAAGAAGAAGACCAAGAAGAAGAACGACAATAAGTATTTGAAGGTTATGACTAAGATGAATAAATTTTTACATTTTTTAATTTCAATCTCTTTTATAATTTCCAACCTTCAAAATCTTATTTTCAACTATGTTTTGAAAAATTACACGCGTTTGCAGCTTGTTGTAAATTTATGTACCTTCCAATGTCTAGATTGACCGGATTAAGAGCGATGAATTGTCGTAGTGGTAGTGCGCCCGACTCACGATGGGAAGGTTGTGAGTTCGATCCCAAGCTCGATCAGATATTTTTCTCGAGAGAATGTATCTAGTTGAAGCTGAAATATGACTTTGCAACATTTAATGGATGACGGACTGCGAATAGCCATGATGCTTTCTAGATGGCTCGAGGAGTTATTAACATTGCCTTCCCAGGACACGAGGCTAATGACCAATGTAGTTGATGCCGATGACACAAAAATAGTTATAGATATATTCTTCTTTCCCGTTAGAGTAGAATGATATTCGTCGTAGAGTTTTTAGATGCGGGTGAGACGAATATCTTCCAAAATGGATAGTAAAAACGAATGAAGTAACGGAATGTTCTCTATAGACTTCATTCGTCTCTATGAAAATGGTTTTATTAACCGAGTCCTTCGTGGAATGTTACCTTGTCTGATCTCGACATCCCGCGTCATGGCAGTAGTCTTGGCAGGACAAAAGCTGAGAAAGAATCTGATTATAACAATAATAATGATGGAGAGGGATATCCTTTCGACATCTGAGGCCCTTACTGAATTGCGCCACCACTTACCCGAGCAACTGGTGCAAAATCAGACGAAAGGGGTACTTTACTCTCCATCTGATACTGGCTTTTGGTCTACAGGGCTAACCCTTCGATAGACCAATGACTCGTGGTACAAGAAATCGACGAGGAAGCTCCCGCATCCGACCGGTTTGGAAGAATTAGTGTCAAGGTGGTAGATGATGGGCTACAAGGATCGACTACAGGTTTACTATGCGGCGAATATCCACCAAACAACGATATGTCCATCACACTTCGAGTCGAGGTATATTGCTGACCACCAATTAGCACTGCCTCGATAGGAAAATAATGCTGGTGAGTGCTAAAACGTCACTAGCGGGATCCTGCGAGAAACATTTTTGCTAACTCAAAAAGCTTCTGCGTGTTGTGGATACTTCGCAGATCGCTGATCAGGTGAAATCCTTCTGGGGACATCCGCATTTATATATTCTACATGAGTTTTCAATTATTTTTGAGAGTTAATTCAATTGATAATATTTCAGAGGAATAGAAATATCTGGAGATCGACTATTATTGGGAAATGAAATCTGTTCAGCATTGATCCTAAACAATGATTCATGGGACTTCAACACAGGAGCACTCAGCAGTATATCTTTACGTTCACTTAAGCAAGAAAACTTACGGAAGTTGAAAACAATAGACATTCCTCAAAACGTGTATTGAGAATGAGAAGGGACCCAGTATTCATTTTCGGAGTAACTCGTCTGGATATCGTTTCAAAGTTAGACATTTCACTCTGTCTACATTCAGAATAGGATATTACTGGAGTTTTATCCCAACACCAAACCGTTATATAAACCTCGACACGTGTTTCAATCACCAAGTGGTCATCTTCAAGCGTTTAATCTTCCTTCCTTCTTCCCGACAGGTCATCAAAAGCTAAAAGTTCTTATGTTTTTATATTATACTGTAATTGTCCAAATTACTGAACACATTGAAATCAAGTTGTTATTATTTTTTTATGCAAAAATACCAACAATTATATTTTGGGAAAAAAAGCTTTTGGCTTTCTACTTTTGCATCTTGATATGAAACCTCTGTTTCCCAAAAATTAATATAATACAATACAATACAATACTTTATTTTTCCTGAGACAAAAAACAACAGGTTTGTCATCGCCCCTTCTGTCTGTGAACAAGGTAATCAATCGCATATTCGAAATTTGCCCAATTCCTCGTATAAAAAAAGAAAACTTTTCACATATAGTCATATAGTTAAGTCATACTTGAAGTCTGGCTATGAATCAAATGATTTAAAGAAACAATTCGTTCAGGTCAGTGTCAACTCCCTGAACTGTAAGTTAATGTCCCCTGGCTAATACTACACAGGGCGTTGGATTATATCCGACCTGTGTCAGTGCAGGATTCTTCACTGAATTTATTTCTGCATATGCTCTTGGTGATACAACTTCGTGGCATCAGACAGGGGAGCAGTTGATAGGTGTCAGTCTATTTACCTACAGTGTAGGGAGTTGAAACTGACCTGCATTCGGACTCTGATGAATAGAATTATCGAATTAGAATCGCTTCAATTCGTTTCTAAAATGTGATGGTAGAAATCTATTTTGGCACTCCCATAAATCGCTTTGCGATGTAGAATTGCTTGTCGGGAAAGTCCGGCAANTTTTTTTATGTTTGAATAGCTATTTGCTATATTTGGTTGACTTGTGCCAATAACTTCTTCAGAGTGAGGCAACTCAGTTTCTAAGTAATAACTTTTAGCAGCTTCCGAATAGTTATGTTCATCTAACATAAACTCCTCAACAATTACTTCACTAGTTTCATCTGCTTCAGGCAGTAAAAAAGGATCCTCGACTTCCAGAGTAGGTTTATCCAATGGTTCAGAAAATTTCCTTTTGATTCCTAAAAAAAATTACCTATATTTCAGAGTTATATATTGGTGGTATCATACCTTTCTCTGCCACAGATCCGTCCCCCAATGTTCCAGTTCTTCCCATGAGAGACAGTAATCTCTCTTCAAAAGAGGTCAGCGGTACCACACATGAAGGCCCTCCACCAGTTTGAATTAAATTTTTGGCATTTTTACTGCTTTTTAGTTTTGTTTTGGATTTCCAGTCTGCCAGCGTTTTTTTCCATTCTTCCACAGACCGTTTGCCCTGTCCTAAACTATTTAATTTTAGTGCCAGCCTTTCCCAAAGTAATTTATTTTTTTGTTTTCCTTGTAAATGGGAACTGAACTTGTTGGTGACTACTTCGGAGTGAGTTTCGGCGAAATCTAAAAAAACTCGCCAGTGATCTTGAGTCACTCGCATTTTATTTTTCTTTTCCATTTCTTTAAAATAATGATGAAAACTTATTAGGTACTAACTTTTTGAATAATTGAGTTGTGACACACCATAACCTATACCACAGTCTATCTGCCTATATCCTTCATTTATTACTTATCTCTTTCTGTCACACATACGAGCATAGAATTCGCAAGCTCTTGAATTTCGTTTGGAAGCGATTCTATCGGCGTTGACGGGGAAGGGGGATTACTTTAGAAATTGACATCATAGTACCGAGATTTTGACTTTGACGTCACATTTCGATTCTAAAATACATTTCTACTTATCAGAGTCCCGCCACTGAACGAATTGTTCCTTTAAATGATTTGATTTATAGCCAGTTTTCAAGTATACCCACTGACTATATGTAAAAAATATGTATTTTGAATGAAATAATAATCAGGAAATCAAATTAGCCACTGAATATTGTTTTCAATATAATATTTTAATTTTTTTTTCGAATTTCTCATCTGTAGTTTGATTATTTCATTACTGCTCTCTCAAACTACCTATTTTTCATTTCTTTCCCTTCAGTATATCTGAAATGAAATTTCAGAACGTCATTCAGTTCATTTGTAACATGATTTCAAAGGCTCTTTAAATAAGCTGAAACATGGTTGAAGATTATTCATAAAAGGTCTTCTGGATTTTATTGTAACGAAGCTACTTCTAACGCAGTAGCAGAAAATGTAAGCACAGCCATGAAAAATTAAAACACATGAAATCATTTCTTTCCTGAATAAAATCTCGATTTTCCAGTTGAGTACAATGGAGCCTTTCATAAGTAATGTTTTTGTGAGTTCGCGCTGAATGTTTAAAATTCGAGAGCCCCGAACTTCATTATTTTCACATGTTTTCATGAGTATGCAAAAACGCATACTTCATGTTTTTCATGTCTCCTACGAGGGCCTCGAAATTCACTACACTTTTTTTTCATAGCAATTTCCACCATGTTGCGAAGCGAATCCCGAAAAGCGACCGAGGATTTGCTGAAAGTATTGTGAAAATATCAACGGGAGAGAACATTAAACAGGTTGCCATAAAAGCTAAAGATGGATAAAAAAGGGAATATGTATATCTCGAGTTTCATGACATAGAGAAGTGCCTACATGCACAGCAAACTAGATTGGTTCGGAATTGTTGACTCTAAATAGTCCACTACGTCGTCGGTGAAAATACAAAAAATGGCGATATTCTAGACAAATCATGTATGTCGCATTTGTCTAAGGAAAAAATAACAATATTCTAGACAATTCACATATGTCTAAAGAAATATTGTGACTTTTATCTCGAAATTTCGACTTTGAACTCAATATTACGAGAATGAAGCTGAAGTTTCAAGTATGAAGTTGAAATTTCAAATTTAGAGTCGTAATTTCAAGTTGAAAGTCAAAATTTCAGGATTGAAGTCGAAATGGGATCGGATCCAATAAATGGCGTCAGGAGCAGTCTGGTGTTGAACTATAAATAAGTAATTAAGTAAGTATTCAGTAAGTAAGTAATTTTATTCATTTCGCATGTCATTCAATCATTCAGTTACAGATTTGATTTCCCTGCGATTTACAATTCAAATTGTCATTAATAATCCTGTTAAAGAACCATGTATCAGTCAATCTGTAGCCACGTAAGCTAGGCTTGTGTTGTGGCTGTTACAGACTGATATTGATTGTGCTATACAGAGTGTAACTGAATAAATGTAAAACATTCAAAGAGGTGATTCATCATCGAAAAAAAGAAACGATCTTTCATATAAAAAAATTTCATTCGAGCATCCCTTGTTAAGATACAACCCCTTAAGGGGATACATAAAATGTGTATAACAATTTTTTTCACAAGCCCTAAAAAGTTACAATATTGAAATTACCAGAAAGACACTACCAGAAAGACACTTAGCCAGTAATTCATTTGGTTTACCACATGGTTGTAAGGGGTGGAAAACGCAACCCCTAAAATTTATTACCAATTTAACTTTTTGTCTTATTATTTGTTTACCATTTTAAAATTTATTTCTGATAGCCTGTTTCATTCTAAACAAAAAATGTCTCTTGGGTGTGTTGCTCAAAATGAACCAGTTCGCAGCAAACAATTATTTTACGAACAACTACAGAGATACATCGTCGTAAATGCGAAAATACAAAACTAATCTATCTACTATGTCGCTATCAGTGATAGTGACAATTGAATTGGTATGACGCTGTCAGTTTGTGAATTTTTGAAATTGAATTAATACTAATTGTGTGTTGTCGTTCTGTTCTTAATTTGTTACTTTAATAATTCACGTGTTATTAAAATGGCATACACAAATGAGAAAATGGCTGATATGCATTACGTTTACGGTCTGTCGCAGGGGAATGGATTAGAAGCTTCTAGAAGATATTCTGAGATGTATCCTCAACGGCAGCATCCTTCACAAAGAATATTTGCTCGACTTCATCAAAGATTACGAGAAAATGGTTCATTCGACAAAAAAACGCAGGATTGTGGTCGCCATCGAGAAGTACGAACACCACAACTTGAGGAAGCAGTACATAATTTGATTGAAGAACGACCTACTACCAGTACTAGAAAGATTGATTTCCAGCTAAATGACCGCTGGATACGGGAATGACAGAATCACTTGTGGTTCGGTTATTCCCTAACTGAATGGCATCCCAACGATGGCTTAATCCTAAGGTCCCCTAAGGTCCCCTATTACCAAGTTAGCAAACGTTTGCGCACAAGTGATGATTCACCAAAACCAGAGGCGAAAAAGCCCTGCACGGTTGAATCTAAGGCAGCATCGTCAGGTGTAGGTGACGTGCAAAAACTCTCATATGGGAAGGTTGCCGCGGGTATCAAGGTGGGAATCTTGCACCTTGACTATCCGACTACCTCATTAACAATGGAACAGCAGAGCATGTACTTTCTGCCTGCTCTGCTGGGGACGTACTCAGGTTTTTAGAGTTCGGGAGAGCCTTGCTCTTCCATTTAACCTGAAATACCACTCACCATACAAACTAATCGGCTTTGTTAAAAAGCTGGGTTTATTTGGTCGAGTGTGAGCCACAATAAACCCTTGCGGGTTGCGGTGGTGGCCCGAATAGGCCCACTCAGTTTGGACCTAACCAGCCTAACGTAGTACGTGTCAATTAATATAGCATATACCAATCATAATTTCGAATAATGCTATATATTTATGAGTAGAAGACTATCCCATTGACTCACGATCATGCATTAATACGTTCGTGGATATATTTTATTCAATGTCATTCAGAATATTCATTATACTGAAAACAATATCTATCGCTATATGGATTATACATTTGTAATAATTTCGATATTTGAGCAGTGCATGTGTTCAGATGAAAATAATAAAATTGTCATGAAAATTCAAAGAGTAATGTTATATTTATTCATTGATATAATGGAAGTATTTGAATAAATTATTATTCATTCAATTGAGCTGAATCCAATTTAATAACTAACTCATATCTGCATAGCGGTAAAATGATTCAGTATTGAATAAAATCACAAAAAAAAGTTGTGAGTATTTGTGTCTTACTAACTAAACTTTTCTGATGCTTTTGGATACACTCATTGCCACTCGTAAGATATGTAAAATAAACGAGGGAAGTTCAAGTACTGCACAATGAAAATGATCAAAACATTGTTTTTGGACCAAGTTTGCTTATAATGTTGAGATCTCCAATAAATCATACTATTCAAGAAGGCATTGAAAAGTTAGCTATATTCTAAGGCCTACTAATTATCGCGTTGTTCAATTCATCTCGGACCATCTGGACTTCTTTCAAGGGCAAAACACAAGCACTACAGGAAAATCCATGAGGCGCTATAAGAGCGGTGCCTGTGCGATTTGAATTGCGGGATTTGAATTGCTGGAGATTGAATCCTTTTGGAAAAACGTTCTCAGGAAGTTTATTTCACGAACGCAGTTCTTTAAATGAGAAAGTTCTTGAACAGTGAAGTTCAAAGTGTACTGAGTTGAACCTCAAAACGATGAGCAGACACAGGTCGTCGCGTATTTCTTATATGTAACGCTCTTGGTGGAATCAAATGTGCCAAGTCTCTTGAACACTTCCTGTGAAAGTATCTATAGAAGAGAGACAAATCTCCAACTTTTCTTCCATGTTCCAGATTGTCAAGATTGCAAGTGATGTTCGCGTCACCAATCAGGCGAATGGTTCTTTTCTGGATGGAATTCAGCAGCTTCAGAGTATGCTTAGAGGCGGAGCTCCATACTCCAAGGAAGGTCGGATCTGAGCTTTATAAAGCGTCAAAGGTTGCTGAAGTGTGTACAGATTTCTGGTTTCGAACAGTCTTTCAAGCTTTTGAGAAGCAGCCTTTGCAATTCCAGCGACATGATTGTGCCAAGCCAACAAACTTATCGAAGAAGAAAATGTAATTGTGTGACCGGACATTATAATAAACGGTTCGAAGACATTATTTTTTTGGAGAAAACTATTGCCTGGGTTTTGTGGCATTGAGTTGAACCTGATTATTTTCACCCCAATTCGAAATTACTTTTAGATCGTTATTAAGATATGCAACCCCCTGCTGCCGGTGAAGATGTGCAATCGCCGCCGATGTCCTGGAATCCAGATGGAATGACAAAATAGGCAAAAATAGCAACATTTTTTATTTTAATTTTTTTTAATGATGTTTCATTGTATGAACTGCATTCCATTCGATTTTGTTTACTTTACTTCACGAATTACACAATTTTTTTCTGCCGATTTGTTCTATAAGTTGACAAGATCTTCAGGGATGCATAAATATTATTACTATTTTTACGTAACCAACCGAACCTTGGATTATGAAGAAATTAAAAATGTAGTAGATTATTCTGAAATACTCTATACCTCATGTGGAGTAGAAAAGGCATAATTTTTTCAACCAAAACTTTTTCTACAAGATTGGAGAAAGTGCGGTTATGATAATGAAATATACAACTTAACGATAGATATTTGAACCTTTTTGTATTTGCTGAACGAACCTATGAACGAATATCTAAATGATTTTTGTCAATAAGGAACACTCACCGTGACTGTAGTTTCCTAACTGTGCTTGGAGTATATTCACACCCGGAACAACAATAGCAGGTAATGTCCTGGACCTTAGTAATGGAGGAGGTTTTTTGCTAGTCCTTCCAGCCCCTTCTAGACCTACACAAGAGGCCCTTTGGTCTATTCTGCTACTGGCTGCCAGTTGAGCACTGAAAATAAAAACGATCTTAGTAATAATTGTATTCGATTTGAATAACTGGGAGAATATTTATCCAGTTGCTATAGAGAGGAGAAACAATTTATTTCATCTGAAATAGTAATCTCTAGATGATGAGTAGATATTTATGAGGCGTTTTTGATATTTATCGACTCCATTTCTTGCTACGAAACGAAAAAACCTTATTAGAAAGATTCGAAGGGAAAGGGGTAGGTAAGCGTTTTCATACTACCATCAAAAGTACATGTGTGAGAGAGATTTACTGGATAATATTGGATAATATTTCTATTAGAAGATTGACGGTGAAAGAATTCCTTAATAACGGATATTTAGATTATGTATGTCGAATCGATCGGTGATATTTTTGTGCGAATATGAAGGTTTTTTATCGAAAATAATTTTTTTAAAAAGAACAGCAGCATGTAATCTCCTTCAATTGCTCATATTCAGCCAACTAGTATCTTTCAATTTGTATGAAATATGTTCTTTTCTGCGGATACCATATATTGATCGTTAGCATGAGATTTTTAATTTTTGTACTTTTATTTGATATTGGCTGGACAAGAATAGACCATATAGTACATCTGCATAACTGAATATGGACAGTTTCAATGACATACAAATTTGATTTTATTTGAATAGGGAGGAAATATTTATTGCCATATATAGTTTTAAGAGTGAAGTATGCACGTTGAATAAGCATTTGTTTTTGTTGCCGAAAAGAATAACATTAGGTTTAGTGCGATTAAGTTCCTATCAGATTCCTCATTTATAAGGTCACATGACTCCACTACCGTACCGGGGTGAAAACTGTAATAAATTTGAGTATCATCCGCATACAAGTGTATATTACAGATCTGAAAAGTTTTCACTTGGCAGGAAGTGAATATAGCAATAGCAATGGCCGCAAAATGGAACCCTGGGGTACTCCGCATCTCAAATCCATATAATTGGAGGATTGCCCATCAACTGAAACCATTTGTTTACGACATCGAAGGAATTCATGTGGGTTCGACTTTTTAGTCAATATTTTTAAAATGGCTCTTTTCCAAAGTTCAGGGAAAATATTATAATTTAAACAAAAATCTAAAATGTGTGTGATGTAAGAAATTATATGTAGACAGCCTAATTGCAATAGTTTTAAATTTAATCCATCTTCATTGGCAGTATTTGTGTTTATAGTATGTATTGTTTTATAAACAAATAAGTAATTCACTTTTTGAAATTCAAAATCTAATTTCACTATTTTCCTTTGTTTATGTAACAAAAGTAATCCTCCAGGAGGTTCTTTTGTAACACAAGAATTGATAAAAACGCATTTATTTCAGCAGGATTTTTCAAATCATCTGGTACTGTGCTTGACTTGCCAGATAGAACGTTATAAGCCCTCAAAGTATTCCAAAGATTTTTAGAATTTTTGTTACTGAGCTAGTATGTTAAAATGGTTTTTTCTCTCTCTCAATAGTAGAATTCGTTTAGTTCCTGAAGGTGATGATTTAGTTCTCGTAGGTATACCTGTTCAGTTTATCACGTATTATTAACATATTTTTGATAGCGCCAGTTAACCAAGCAGCCCTGGGTTTTGAAACACGCAATATTATTAAAGGTAGATATGTTCTAACAAACGTCGAATTTGCCACTAGAGCTGGCATCTTCAATAGTATATGCGTTTACGAGGATGATGTATATGCGAGAACAAATAGAGTATTTCAAAATCTCAGCAATGATTGACTGAAAAACCTCATATCCACATTCAGTCATACGTGTGGTGATGGTGGGGTGTCCATGCAAAGGTTGGTAAGTCCTCATGCTAGGTTGTTCTGATTAGTCTAGTTGGTAAGCTGCTGGTGATAAATCGATCGAAGCTGTTTCCTAGATTTCAGTCGATATTTGGTTTTTTCTTTTCTGTTGAAATTGTTGGGATACTCATGGATCTCAATATCCTCTCTATAATATAGTGCATGTTTATACGTCGTATTGGATAGTGCAATAGTTTCTGAGGATATACTATAATAGTATATTATGCAACGATCATGTAATGATGGTTATTAAGACACGAGCATTAACCGGGATACGAAACGAGCCGAAGGCGAGTTTTGTATGGTATATGCGAGTGNTCACATAGAATATTTGCTCGACTTCATCAAAGATTACGAGAATATGGTTCATTCGACAAAAGAACGCAGGATTGTGGTCGCCATCGAGAAGTACGAACACCACAGCTTGGGGAAGCAGTACATAATTTGATTGAAGAACAACCTACTACCAGTACTAGAAAGATTGATTTCCAGCTAAATGTTGATCATATGACGGTAAATCGAATTTTAAAGGAACAACTCTTGTAGCCTTACCATTTGCAACGAGTACAGGCACTGTTACCGCGAGACTTTCCGAACCGTCTTGAATTTTGCAATTGGATGCTGGAAATGATTAGAAGAAATTGTAACTTTCTGAAAACGATAGAATTTACAGACGAATGTAGTTTTTCTCGGGACAAGATTATTAATTTTCATAATTACCACATATGGACTGATGAAAATCCTCACGCTATTGTCGAAACTAACCATCAAGAACAGTTTTCTCCTAACGTGTGGCTCGGAGTAATTGGAGATGATTTAATTGGACCTCATTTTCCACCTCCTCGATTAAATGGTGAGGCATACGTTCAATTTTTAAGAGAAGTGCATCCAGTACTACTGGAGGAAGTTCCTTTGGGCGTCAGCATTTAACTGAAACATATGCAAATCAGTGGATAGGTCGAGGAGAACCACAGAACTGGTCCCCCGGATATCCGGATCACAGTCCTTCCGATTTCTCTATTTGGGACCATTTACAGCATTTGGTTTATCGTAGTCCTGTTCGCGATGTAGAGGATTTAAGAAACCACATCATCGAATCGTGCAGGGTAATCAGAAAGATTCCAGGAATATTTGAGCGAATACGTGGCTCAATGCGCCGACGTCGAGACGCATGCGTAATGTCTGAGGACATATTGAACAATTACTATGATTTCTACATGTTGTGTGTTTTGTTATTCATAAATTAGTTTTGTTTATTACCCTTTAATCGTTTAATGCAGGTTCTAACTACAAAATAACAATAAATCCAGTTCGCATTTATGACGATGTATCTCTGCAGTTGTTCGTAAAATAATTTTTTGCTGCGAACTGGTTCATTTTGGGCAAAAAACCTAAGAGACATTTTTTGTTTAAAATGAAACAGGCTATCGGAAATATTTGATTGGTAAACAAATAATAAGACAAAAAGTTACATTGGAAATAAATTTTAGGGGTTACGTTTTCCACCCCTTACAACCATGTGGTAAACCAAATGAATTACTGGCTAAGTGTATTTTTGGTAGTACAAAACGTCAGGTTGATTTCAATGTTGTAACTTTTTTAGTGCTTGTGAAAAAAATTGTTATCTAAATTTTATGTACCCCTTTTAAGGGGCTGTATTTTAACAAGGGATGCTCCAATTAAGTTTCTTTATATGAAAGATCCTATCTTTTTTTCGATGAGGAATCACCTCCTCAAATGTTTTACACTTATTCAGTTACACCCTGTATAATTTATAATAGATTAATTGAATGAAAGCTAAAATAGGTCGTTTGGTTATATATTACTGTCTACCTTACCACAGCATACTGTGACCTTACTAGGTTCAAAACCGCAATTGGAGAATGATGGCTAGAGGGAGGTAATAAGAAGAGAGAGAGAGAGAGAGAGCAGGTAATTTAGCTCAAACATTTTCAAAGATATCGTGCAATTGATCATTTGGTATCATGGTATTGTAATTGCTTGGTTGGAGGTCAATCGCGTAATATATTCATGTGTAATGATGTTAGAGGGGTTACTACAAATTCATAAAAAACATTGATGAGCGTATAATTTTCCTACTTTGAACAAACCACTTTGTTCGTAGAGTAACTCTGTAGAATATCTCCTATCCTTTTTAAGGCGATTTTTATCAGTGCGTTTTGTATTACGTCAAGAATATGTAGAGATGTTTTGAATAAGCCACCCCATACTAAGATACAGTATCTATTCATCGACTCCACCAAGGCACCGTAAACCGTCAATATGATATCTCTACTTAAGATACTTCTCAGTTGGTAAAATATCCGAATTAGTTTGCGGAGTTTTTTACTATGTGATCTATATCATCAGTCCAGCGTAGAAAATCGTCATTCATGACTCCTAAATATCTAATAGTATTTGTTTTACATATTCGGGAACAACTACAGTTTTGGTTTTCTGTACACGTATATTTGTGAATCTGTTTAAAAAAAAATCTGTTTAAAATCTGTTGTTCCGTTAATCAGCTGTCGCCTCCATACGAACGACAACTCTCAGAAGTTGAGAAACTTGTGCGAGCTAAGGACTAACGAGGTTTTACCTTTCAACGTGTGATTCCTAACACGGAATCGGAATGAAGTTTTCATCAGGTTGGTCTTTTCTTGTAGAAGAGAAAGTTATGAATTCAGTTGTATCTATGTTGAGACTCAATATATATGTACTTAGCCAATTATGTATCGTTTTCATTCCTTTGTTTGCGCTTTCGTATGTTTCATTCCAAGTTCGTCCCATGAATACTACAGCAGTATCATCGGCGTAGGATAATAGTTTTCCCTTGAAATTGCTGGTATTAAAAATATTGTTTACATAGAGCAAAAATAAAATAGGGCCTATTACTGTTCCCCGAGGTACGCCCATGCTGACAGGTAGCGGACTACTATATGAATCATTAATTTTTACTATCTGAATTCTGATAGATAAGTAATCTTTGAAAATTTCGAGAATCATTCATCTAACTCCAATGTCCTGTAACCGCTGAAAGGGGATATCATGATTGACGGTGTCGAATGCCTTGGCTAAGTCTGAAACAGTGATGCATTTTTCTTGATCCTGAAACCTATTGAAAACATTGTTTGCCAATTTAAAAACTGCTCCATCAGTTACGTTGTGTATGGGCTACAGTGTACAACTAGTATAGATGGCGTATTTTTAATTACTTGAGCTTGTCCTTCAAGCACACCAGAGTTCATTAACGCATCTGTGGCTCAGCCTAGCACCACTGATGAAATCTATGGCAGGTCGAAACTGCGCTGTCTGATACTGAATCATAAACAACTTGTCAACTTGCTGTGAAAGCTGCAGTGGGAGACAGAGTTAAAATATCGTCGACAGTCAATGTCGAAGCTTAACTTTGCCACTGACCTCCTCGGGGAGCCTCGTTCATCTTTGATATTCGAGAGTTGAGTTGCAGACCTGCAGACCATGACTAATAAACCTGGAAGCATTCGATAATTCGTTAGACACTGCCCATGAAAGCATACACACAATGACGGTATGTGTTTGGTTATCTATGGTAATCCGAACTTAGTACGAGGCACGGCGGGTTGTCTGTACTTGTTCATGTTTCACTGCTTGAACCATTGTGCATGCTGTTTTTGGCGAGTGCATTGACTTAGGATGTGGGGGTTGAGCAAACCGGTCATCGGATGCCTGCTTCCACGTCTGACCGCTAGATACGGGAATGACAGAATCACTTGTGGTTCGGTTATTCCCTAACTGAATGGCATCCCAACGATGGCTTAATCCTAAGGTGTGTGTATCCGGGCCTATCAGCCTATCAGGTGTCTCTACAGAACCTTTGAGATACCGGGCGCCCTCTTGTCGTACCATCGCCTTGTCACGGTAATGTGGGGTTCTGCCGTGACTGACCTTCTTTCCCTAGCTTCTCGTGGGACTTATATACAGTCAACTTAAAAAGTATTCCTGACGCTGAGTTAACAGAGGATATGAATATAAAGCTTACGATTCCAACTGACCTCCCTATAAATTCAGATCAGAAGCGAGAGCTTCTCATCTCTCCAACTCCTGGTCCAATAACTGAACCTGAAAAAATGTTTGGTGGTGCAGCAAAGAAACGACTGAGTCGTCTTCTCAAGAACAGAGTACCTTATGAAACAGCCTTGCACCAAATTCTTGAGCGGCGTACGCAGAATCTGTTTCAGGTGAAGGAACAAACTCCCCATGAGCAAGTTAGCAAACTTTTGCGCTCAAATGATGATTTACCAAAACCAGAGGCGAAAAAGCCCTACAAGGTTGAATCTAAGGCATCGTCAGGTGTAGCTGACGTGCAAAAACTCTCCTATGGGAAGGTTGTCGCGGGTATCAAGGTGGCAATCTTGCACCTTGACTATCCGACTACCTCATTAACAATGGAACAGCAGAGCATATACTTTCTGCCTGCCCTGCTGGGGACGGACTCAAGTTTTTAGAGTTCGGGAGAGCCTTACTCTTCCATTTAATCTGAAATACCACTCACCATACAAACTAATCGGCTTTGTTAAAAAGCTGGGTTTATTTGGTCGAGTGTGAGCCACAATAAACCCTTGTGGGTTGCGGTGGTGGCCCGAATAGGCCCACTCAGTTTGGACCTAACCAGCCTAACGTAGTACGTGTCAATTAATATAGCATATACCAATCATAATTCATAGATTACAACAAACTCATAATTTTCCCTTTTTCGCTTGTGTGGAGAATTTTTAAATTATATTTATCTATATTATGTTTTGGAATTTTCAAGATGTTCATGCATTTATGATTTTTTATCCGAAATGACATGTTCATGGTACCTTATATAAAAATTTCTACCAGTTTGGCCTGTATATATGGCGGGACATCCATCACATTCTAGTCGATATATACGAGATCTCTTCCCTTTGTTCCCTTTGTTAGGTTTGGCTTGAATTAGGTTAAATAATCTGTTTCCTTAATTTACGTTGGATGTGTAGAATGTTTGTAGATTGAATTTTGAAAGATAATTTTCAATAACTCGACAATAGTTTCTACATATTTCGCTAAGAAAATTGGAGGTAACACCAATGACAGTAAATACGTTTGAAGGAGCTAATTGTAGTGAAATGCCTATCGCGGTTTTGTAAACTGAGTAGTGAAAATATCACAATGAGGTTACTTTCGAACACACTAGCATTTGAGACACTCTTAAATACTTCATATTTGCATTCAAACAAAAGCTGGCCAGTTGAAACTGAAAAATTAATCAGGCTACGAGAGATCGGGCAGAATAAAAATCCACTTTGGATATCGGATATGAAACGGATGATGAACAGTTAGTTATCTCGAGAAGATATTATACCTGCAGTGCGGATGAAAATTCACCTTATAGTTACCCGATCGGTCAATACACATCCATCTTTCACACGAGTGCTTACAATACTAAAAGTTACCAGGGATAATAATATAATTTCAGGATTCTCACAATGAGACCCGCACGTAAAGCATTGGTGAACGCAAGAATGACATTGATGCTAGTTTGGAACTGAAAGAGCAGGTGACAGGAATTGATGAATTGTTGTGTACCAGAAATAATAAAAAACAATCAAGCTGATGATTATCAATCACATTGAGGTACGCTTTCTCGCTATTTTCAATATATAGGTCTGTTCACTTCTAGAATTTCTTCGAGCTCTCTCAGCATATCAGTTTTCATCTCATTGATTGTCGCAAAACGCCGTCCTTGCTTGGGTCTTTTCAATCTTGGTAATAGAAAATGTCACAGGGGCCAAATCTGGTGATTAAGGTGACTGAGGCATGATTACGGTGTTGTTTTTGGCCAAAAAATCATGAACAAGCAATGACCAGTGAACAGATGCAAAGCTCGTACTCAAAAAATTATTGTGGATGAAACTGTATCGGATATTCTACCGGTATCAAAGGGAGTGCCACAAGGATCTATCTTCGAGCCCTTGCTTTTTAGCTTATGCATCTGCGATTTTCATCAGTTCGTTAAAAAATGCCGATGACACGCAGTTATATTTCTCTTTTCCGCCTCGTAATTTTACCTCTACCCAGTCATATATTAAAAAGGATATTCAAGCTATCTTTGACATGTTTACAGCCCATAAGCTCAAGATAAATCCAAATAAATCTGCAATAATGATGTTTGGACACAAGAAGAATAGAGAGCTCACCAACTCCACATTTCAAGTCCTCATCGAAAATGAAATACTTCCCTCCGTGACCGAGATGAGAAACTTAGGATCGTGATTTGATCTAGAACTTCGCTTCACTAAACATGTCAGCTGTCTGAACCAAACTTCTTATAACGTCCTTAGGCAGCGGTTTCCAAATCGTGATTTGCTCAACACAAACTTGAAAATGAGACTATCCGAGTCATTGATCATGTCAAAAATTTCTTATTGCGACAGTATTTATGGACCTGCTTCAAGACAATCAATTGGATGCTCTTCGTCTATAGCGTGTTCAGAATACCTATCTACGTTTTTCGTTTGGTATCTGGAAATATGACCATATATCTTCAGCCATACAAGAATCAGGATGGTTGGAAGTTGAGAAACTCAGAAAACTGCATCTACTCATCAACACACATAAAGTTTTGATATCACGTCAACCTGATCACTTACTGAAGAGGCTTAGAACATTCTCAACAATAAATAGTTCTACCACAAGGAACAGTTCAGTTTTAGTCATCCTCAGACACAAATCTTTCATTTTCACCCGCTACTTTACGTATAATCTGTTCAAAATCTGTTTGCACCTAAACATTACAACTTCCTCTTATACAATGAAAAACTCAAAAAAAAAGACTAGAGTCCTATTCAACTGTCTAGTCTCCTGTCCGTTCCCGACCTTGGTATTACGAAAAAGAATTTTCTACAGCGGTTGCTTACATTTTCTGATCTCATCATGACGATATCACTGTTAACTCGACTTCTTTGTTATTGTTTAATTATTGCTATTTCCAGGTTGAGTTGAAAAACAGCCTTGACTGATACTCCAGCTATTCACGTTTATACTGAAAATTGTTTTCATTTTCCTCTTTTTGTTGATTCCAATTCTACTTTTATGGTGAACAAAAACGTATTATTATCATTATTATTATTATTGTGTGTGAGGAAAAGTTATTTGTTAATATAATCTTTTATTGATTATTTTGTGTATGTACATATATTATACTCATCATGAGCTTATTGTTACTTTTGTAGGATTGAATAATGATACTAATAATGTACACAAAATTAGTATCATAATGTTTAAGTCACATTTCACATAATTAAAGAATATCACGTGCTTGCTGGTTAGATTTGTGTAATACTGTCAAGAGTATATGTCTACCGCACACTAAATACTGAGCGTCTATTCAACGAGAGAGGAGGAGCCTGCGTTCCGTTGACATTTGCGTAAGAGACAGACTGGGGCTGTAACGCATTAGGTAACGAAGCGGTTCACTCTCCTATAAGAAATTATCACTTCAAAAAAATCGCCAATAGAATGTACGTAGCTCGCAAAATTTGGAAATTCACCTTATTTTTTGAACAGACCTCGTACATAAAAGCACATTGCTGCCGGTTGCTCCACTATCTGACCAGGTGTAGGTGCTGACTCATATACAATGTACAACTTCGATACTCATATGATATTGGAATATTCCATTACAAATCTTTTGCAGTTTTTGTCACCAGACCTTGAACTAATACGAAAACTGTACTGATTTACTTCGACTGCCTGTATGAGTAAACAATGATAAATTGTGTTGATAAACGTTTATCAAACCGATAAAGGATTCATACGTTGTGCTTGAAAATATGTGGATGTTATTGAATGAGGTGAGACACTTTCTTATTGTTATATATAGATACCCGATTTTTATATTTTATGCCCCTTTCTTGACTATTGGTTGTAGTTACATTACCATATGGTGATACAGGGTGTTTATCAAACATACGGCAAAAATTAACGGACTATTCCTTGGACTATTCTTCGATGATTTTTGATAGAGCGCTTTGTGTCGAAAATACGGGACGAAAAAAATTTCAACAATAACAATTTTGGTAATTTTAAAATTATTACCGTAGCCGAAATAAAACTGTAGCGTACTACACTAGACCTACCAAGCAATGAAAAATCTAACAATTCCATTGGTACCTATCAACAACATTCCGATTACTACGAACGGTTGCAGACATTCAATTTGCTGAGTGTAACGCAATCGGAAACGATACTTTGGGAGTGGATAAGGAGAATATTGGATTCTAGTATCCGAGCGAAGGGTAGTTATTTTCAACAGTTCTTGTAGATTAAGAAACATTACATGTAATTTTTGGAAATAAATTGTTATTGTTGAAATTCTTTTTCGGTCCGTATCTTCAAAACAAAGCACCATATCAAAAATCATAAAAGGACAAAATATCCTCAGAATAGCCCATAAAATAATTCTTTAAATTTTTGCCGCATGTTTAATAAACACCCTGTATTTCGTATGAAGAATTTTGAGATATCCTAGGAATTGATTGTTGATGAGGTAAATAAAAAAGTAGAATACCTGTATATAGAAGAAGGAAATATAGTAACTGAAGGATTATCTCAATATTGCAGTTGATCAGAAATGAAACTCCTGAAATCGTTTAGGTCAATTATTATGGAAAGAAAATTCCAAATGTAGGTGATCAAAATGCACTTCCATTGTAAAAACTGAACTTGATGATCTCATGTCAATGTGGATGCAACCAGCAGAGTCCCAGAACCAATGAAAATTAAGTTTTTTGCAGGAACAAATTAACATCACAATGCTTGAATGAAATCTTATGAATTATGTGCTATTTAAACAAGTATAGTTGAAATAAATGACACTTCACACTTCAATCTTCAAGGTATTGCACTAACATAGTATGAAGACAGATGCATTCGCAAGTCCCATAGTCAGAATATTTGGATAGAATAGAAAACAAGTTGCTCAAAATTTTTTTTATGAGAATACGACGACGGATTGAAAAAAAAATTAATTTCCAAAAAAACCTATGGTGGATTTCTTTACAAAAAATAAAGATCACTTAATTGGGCCGATGAGAATTTGTGGTTCAATTATTTTCAGTTTACCGTTCATATTCAAAATCAATTGGGGAATAAAATAATAAATGATAATGAGGATTTGAATAATTTGTTGAAATATTTGAAAAGAGAAATTGCAAAAATAATCCTGAATCGAGAGAAATGAATAATAAAATAAATTATTGGAAAAAAATGTTTGAAAGTCACTTTTTTGTATAAAGTACACTTTTCTGTGTAGAGTTCATTTTGAAATTGATCGGTTTCTTTCTTTCTTTGGAATATTCCCACATTCTTTGTATAAAGTAGAAAGCCCAAACTTTTCTTCCGGATCAATTTGAAATAAGTTTACAACAACACCAGGAAAGAACAGGTCGAAGAATTCAAAAAACTAAAAGAATGGGAGGTCTTATAATAATGATTGTGATTTAGATGAACAAATTAATGAAGTTGAAATGTATACCAATTATTTATTCGACAGAATTTGTAGGAAACGGTGAAACAGTTTAATTTAATAATTTGAAGTGAAAGCTGTATTTGATACAAGATCGAATATAGATTCATCAGATGAAAAGCTGAGTATGCAAATAAAGTTTTTTAAAAATGGATGTTAACTTATCCATCAGAAGTTCAGGGAGGAGTCACGATGTGCTTGTTCAAGTCAAAGGCAATATTAAAAGTTGACGGAAATTATTTGTGAATTCCAACTGTAGTGGTCAAGAATTAAAGCTGACTTCACGAACTGAAAGTGAAAGAGTCGATAGGACTATGTTTTGAAACATTTCCTTTCTACGGTTGATTATTCAGGAAAGAAACGATCACCAACCGTGGTAGATGGTATTCTACTGTACGAATGTGAATTGATAACAAAATGGAAGAAATGTAAGAAGAGGGCATAATAGTTAAATTCAAATCACCATACGCTTCAATACAATTCAATTTCAATTTGAGAGCTGCCAGTAGACAGCTGTTTCAGCCTGTTGGACATCATCAGAACCAGGCAAACGAAACTCGATTAGAGACAAAATTTGAAGAACCAAGAAGACTTCTTGATGGAAGTAACTGCGTAAATTCAAGCGAAAACTTTATACAGGTGTTAATATGGCAAATTTTTAGTTCACACCGATAAGTTACTGCGTAAACTGAAAATATTTTTCACACAAAAAATGTTCTATCCACCAGAAACTTGTCGTGGAAAAACCTGCAGCACCCCATCATCTGAAGATCTTGATCTGCCAATATCCTCTTTCTCAATATCCTCTCTCTCATGATACAAAATGTAGTGTCTCCAGAGGCTCCAATAAATTAAATACATCGCCAGAACACTTCGTGTCATGACTATCGTCAAGCTTAAACCAGTCCGTTTCGTCTTTGACCAAGGCGTAATAATGACCCAATTCAACGCCAGAACAGTGAACAATGACTGCATGAATATTATAATAGTGGTCTGCTAGATGGAAGTGTTCATCTATTTCGAACTTTATTACTTATCTTAAACATCGGAAAGCTAACATCTCCCTCTGTTTTCAGAATTTGAAAAATCTAAGAGTACTTGCAGTTTTTCTGTCTGGTTCACTTCATTTTGGAACGTTCTTGACAGCTGTCTATAGAGTTTGGAAATATGGAATATGTCAAAGTTGTTGATTGACTTCTGAAACATTGGATGTATTAAAATGTGTTTCATTGCAATTTCGCTACTATCCATATCTGTCTTGAAGACGGGTAGGAGCTCTTTGAAATCCAGTTATTTCAAGTGATTACTTGAAAAAGTTAATGTTTTAGCGAAACATGTTGTGCTATATTTTTCAAATAAAGTATATGGAGATCAAATCGTCAGGTGTAGTTTTTGAAACTTCAGATGACGTGGTGCTGCAGGTTTTTCCGGGTTTTCCTGCAGTTGAATATGCAAATGCGCCACTGGAATCAATGAAGTCGCCCCGGAGCGCCAATTTATTTTTATTGTTGTTTTATAATTTCATGATATTTGTTCTGGAGATATATTAATTTCCGAACGCGAAAAAAAAACTTTTTTGATATTTCGAAAAAATGTATTCGTCTTTCAGAATAAATTAGATTCAACTGATGTGAATCATATAACACTTTTCTTTTCTAGGTTACTTTTCCTCACAATCGGAGAAAAAGTATGTAGTTACACGGTATATTCATTTTGCAAGGAAATTGAATATTTATTGAATTGTATTTATTGGGTTGAAGGGTTACAGTAGGTCTTTCAGAACCTTTTGCCAATTTTTCTATTGAAAACTATTTCAGACATTTTCGAATTCTAACATTTGTTTCTTACAGTCCAGTATAATACAGTATTCAAGATAATCCATTGTGAAATAGTTTAAATGAATGTTTGATCAATCCTTGAGGAAACTTTTGTATATCTTATTTTCTCAATAACATTTCTTCCAAAATTATTCATAGTTTCTCTTTTCCAGGTCTTTTGAATACTGCTGATATGTGTTGTAAGTACTTAATTTGATAAAAAGTTTCATTCATGAGTATATTTCAAAATGATTTGGCTATTACTATTGTTCAGTGAAGAGACTGTAACAGTTTGTGCAAAATCAAATAATAAATCGTCAAACGGAAGCTTCCAGAAGTCTTTGAGAATATTGTGAGAATACACACCAAAATGACAACTCAGTTGAAAATACAAAGTATTTTATAAAGAGAAGTGAAAAACAGATGTTATTAAAATCCTTTCGTGAATATAAAAAAATACTGACAAAAGTTGGAATATTTTTTTTATTAGTCTTATTCTGAAATGGGGTGGAAATACCCTTTTATAAACCATACTCGTAAAAAAAATCACTATAATTTTAAATGTACCACCACATCCGATTTTTTTCTTCAGTCACTCAATAAAAATTCAAATCAACCCAAGAAGTTACCTGATAAAATAACCAAATATCAATCAAAATCCAGAAAATAAAAAAATTAAAGTCGATTGTGCTACATGGTATCTGCTTCTGATATAATATTGTAATGATGAAAACATAAACAGTCCTAGCAGAGAGCAAATTTCTGATAACTTGTCAAAAGGACTAATAATAACATTGAAGACAAAAAGCAAAAAATCATCAAACGATTCATAAAGGATATTTTCCGAAAATAGTTACAAGCAGTGAAAATAAATCTGATTACTATGGCAATGAAATACTATAATCCCTAGAAAAAAAACCAATGAAATGATTCCTTAAGTGAAAGAAATTCACAAGAAGTACAGATGTACATGACTTTCGCATCATGACAATGCACCTGCCCACTTTTCATCAATTTTTCGTAATGTTTTGCCCAAAAACAACACCGTCATTGCTTGTTCGTAATTTTTCGGATAAAATCAACACCATAATTATGCCTCAGCCACCGTATTCACCAGATTTGCCCTCCTGCGACTTTTTAACATTCCTAAGATTGAAGAGACCAATGAAAGGACGGTGTTTCGCGACGAGTGAGGAGATAAAAACTGAATCTCTGTTAAAAAAAATCTGTTTGAAATCTGTTTTTCCGTTAATCAGCTGTAGCCCCCATACGAACGACAACTCTCAGAAGTTGAGGAACTTGTGCTGAGGACTAACGAGGTCTTACCTTTTAACGTGTGATTCCTAACACGTTAGAACTGCTTCGAGGATTGGAAAAAACACTAGCACAAGTGTATTGCATCTGAGGAGGGGAAAATAGGAATTGATGAATTGATAAATATTTTTTGATAAAATAAAAATTCACTTCATATTTGAACAGAGTAGTATGTTATTCAAAGCAATTCTCAAATAGATTCAGTTGCAAACCACTTTTTCCAATTTTTTTCAAGAACTCGAAGAAAAGCTTTTGTTATCAAAAGCCTTTTGTGAACCTGAAAAAATGCTAACGAAAGTTGGAATATGTTTTTTATTAGCCTCATTCTGAAATAGGGTGGATCTGTCTCTCAGTATCTGTTGAGTAGGGAGGATGAGTAGGCCCACAGCACTAAGGTCACATGTGATCATTTGTACATCCTCCCAAGGAGTTGTCCATCCTGTCCTTTCCAGGAAGGTGGACAAGTCTACATGGTCATTAACGCAACCTCCTTAACATACAAATGGGGTGGATATACCCTCTCATAAACTATACTCGTCGAAATATTTCACTATAATTTTGAATGTACCACCATATCTGCTTTTTGACTATTTTGTTGAATATTTTTTATAGTTGTCATAAGAAGATGCATTTCATTTAAAAAAATCAAACTAGCCGATACCTGATCAAAATTCATAACAAAACTAAGCAGTATAGTTCATTGTGATTTTCACTATAGTAGTCTTTATGAACCACGATATGTATTTCGCTATACAATAGCTCCTTGTAACACGTAAACGGTTTCGTTTACGTGTTACAAATCGTAATGAACTATATTAGCAAGTATTTATTCCTCTTCAGTTTATGTGTTTATTATTAGTTGTTTATAATTGTAGCCATATTATTCTTGTACAAATATTAGGTACTATTTACAAGCAATGCTAGGATATCAGTTATATTAACTAGTCGAGCAATGAAAAATCAAAAAATTAGACTGTTATGTTATAAGAGAATTCAAATCCAACAATTCATTTTCAGTCGAATGGTTACTGAATCGAACTGTACGACGGACAAGATGTATACAATACCAATCAGAACAAGGTGAAATACAAATCCACGAACCTACACGGGCTCCTGAACAATATCCTGTTTCCTACATTTACACAGGAGATTCTGTTTCATACAATAAAGAACATTTTCCACGCCCGAGAAAGAAACAAAATGATTCCAAAACATCTAAAACTGAAGCTAGAATTGGGAGTCCTAGACCTGCTTCGAAACCTGAAGAATTGCCTGATTCGAGTGAAAATGACGAAGAAATAAAGAAAGTTATAAACGAAATAGATGAGCTTTTCAATAACGCTAAGGAGTTTGATAAGCATTTAGAAAATTTCAATGATGTTGAGGGTAGCCAACAGCATTACTTTATCGAAGAAAGTCTTACGAGAATCGTGCTGAAACTGGACAGACTGAGAGTAGAACACAGTGCCACGTTGAGAGCAAAACGTAGAGAAGTTATAAAATATATTTACCAATTATTTGATAAACTGAACAAGAAAACTATTGAAAATAATATCACTGAATAGAATTGACCATGTATTTTTCCTTTCACATTAATTTTGAATCCATTAATTCGAAGCATTCCTGAATATATAAAATAGTGTTTTTCCTCAATTCTCTTATAGATTCCAGTGATTTTACGTCAATTTTATCTAACAAGAGTGTTTTTTGAATGAGCATTTCTTCCAGTCTCTTCGCGTCAGGCAACAATTGTTCCTTATTTTTGGAAATTATTTCATTCTTAATTTCTTCGACTTCATTTCTTATCTTCATGATATCATTCTTGATTCCGTTCTCCTCCTCATCTATTTTAGAACAATTTTGGTACGTTTTTTTCGTTTTGTCAATCGAATATGCCGAAGTTGATTCGACTTCATCATCTGAAGATATATCATCGGTCAACTCACTCAGAAGATATTCGGCATTTTCTTCCGGATGTTTTGACATTCTAAAGTTGACGACATTTTCGACTTTCAACGTCACACTTATCATTGAAATGTATCTGTGACGAGGGCAATTCACGTGATATATGACGACTGTCAATTTAATATGAATTTATCTATACGGATTAAAACTAACTGATACACTTTATTGTATGATTTTCACTATAAAGGGTTTTACAAAAACCGTGACACGTGTTTCACTATGCAATAGGTTTCTCTAGTATAAAATAAAAGTAATTAAATTACAACTATTTTATACTATAACATATTATCTAACATATTACCTATTTGTATTCCTATTTTAGTGTATAAAATAGTTGTAATCAGGAAGTAACTTTTATTTTATGCTCGAAAAAGCTATTGTATAGCGAAACACGTGTCGCTGTTTTTGAAAAATCTTGTATAGTGAAAATCATACAATGAAGATTGTTAGTTAATTTTGATATGGATTTTCATCAAGTATCTGTCAGTTTTATTCAATTATATAGATCAGGGGTCTCCAAACTACGGCCCGCGGGCCAAATCCAGCCCGCCAGTGTCATCAATCCGGCCCGCGACAGCCAATGATTATCTAATTGTTGTTACTATTGCTGTGGTAAGTTGAAGAAGAAAACACAGAATGATAATTACTCAGTTTAATTTACTTGCAAGGTGAAACTTAACGACAGAAATGATGACAAAGAAAACTTAACTAAAGTATCTAAGTTTAAGCATATCAATAACTAACAAATAATTGAAATAAATCACAGTAAAACAAAAACACTAATGAGATTTATGTAATTGTGATTTTCCACCGACAATACTTTGTAATTGTGAATCAATTTTACTTGTACCAATTATCAAAAGAGATTTAAGATGCTCATCGGTTAATTGAGATCTGTAAACATTCTTTGTGTACTTCATCTTGGAAAACGTTTTCTCACACAAGTTGTTTAATGTTATAGTCTTTGAGATCAGCTATGGTTTCATTACAAATTAAACATAGCGCCATATTACTGGAATCAATCACAAAATACTGAAAGTTCCATTTTTCTTGGAACGTTCTGCATTCACTGTCGATTTTTCGCTTCTTTTCCATACTAACAAATCACACATAAAAACAATAAGTCAAATCAAAATATTTTTATTGACGGGTGTTACTTCATTTCACAATTGACAGTTTCCCTTCCTCCGCCTTTCCTACGCAGATTAACTCGCAGTTGCGCCGCTAGCCTTTTTATATGCAATTATTACTGCCATCTCGAGGTGATCGGAATACACTAGCAAGAACCAGAACTTTCTTGAACCAACGCGGTAATTCCAAATATTTAATTACGCCTAATGCCACCTAGCGGGTAGCTGAAAAAGATAGTACATAGTACCACTACTCGCCACTAGATGTCGTTAAGTGTCACAATACACAATAATAATTGAAATGCAAAAAAAGCGTGAGTTTGCTTAGGTCACGCACTTTGCGACTATCCTAGTCTAGAAATATAGTTAAGGGCAGAAAATGGCCCTTGGAACAAACTGAAAAACTCATTATGACCCGAAGGCTTCGAAGTTTGGAGACCCCTGAAATAGATTAATATTCAACTCATTCTGAATGTATGAAATGTGTATATCTAATGGCCTTCCGCATTCAATATTATAGAATACAAAACCTCCTTCCAGGGCCGAACAACCATATGTGTTCTTTCACTTTTTTGGTTCCTTTTGGCATATTTTTATAGAAAATTAGTCATAGTTGACGTACAAGACCTAGGAAATGACACCGAAGTGGTACTGAAGTTTTAGTTTCACTAACATATTGCTTTAGTTCTACCTCTTGCGCCGTTCAATACATCAACCTATATTATTGAAATAACAAGATACTATACAGTACCGACGTAAATAACAATTGGGCTGAAAAGTTTGTAGGCTAACATAGTTTTTTTATGAAATTTTCTTTAATTATTCAATACTTCAAATGCCTTCGAGGGCGATATAAATATTATAGCGGTCACATAATTTTTGAATCAATTTTTATAGTCTATGATTCGACGATTAACTCTGAGACCAGAAAAAAATCGGTGGGTGCCAGATCTGGAGAATACGGTGGATGCAGAAGCAATTCGAAGGCCACTTCATACGATTTTGCCATCGTTTTCATTGATTTGTGACACGGTACATTGTCTTGATGGAACATCACTCTCTTCTCCTTCAAATGGACCCGTTTTTCTGCGAATTCGTTGCCGATTTGGGATCGGTTCACCACGTGCAGTCCATTCGAATGAACTATCGTTTTGATTCTGGTGGGAAATAATTAAGTAATGTTTCATCCATTGTCATATATCGATGTATCAATTTGGGTTTTTTGAGGTAGAACAGCTTTAAACATTGATCAGAATCATCAAATCGTTGTTGTTTTGCTCGATTGTGAGCTAGCGCGGTACCCACTTTGAACAGAGCTTACGCATACCCAAATATTCATGCACGATATATCCAATACGTTCTTTTGATATCTTCAGAGCCTCAGCTACACTGATCAACTTCTCTTCGTGATCGTTCAAAGTTATTTTGTGGACTTTTTTTTGTTACCGTCGGTCGTCGGTAACAACCTCTTTGGGGCGTCTATTGAGTACATCGTCATCGGTGCTCATTTTACCTCGTTAAAACTTAGCAAACCGCTTCTGGTGCAAAATCCGAATAATGTTCATCAAGCCAAACCTTGATTTAAAGAGTTTTTTTTCGCCAAGAAGCAATGCTGATTTAACACATCTATTTCCTTCAAAATAACAGAAGTTCCTTCACTCAAAATATTCTATTCCACAAATTGATAGTCCAACAGCTGTCAAATTTGACCACGTGTCTTTTGTAGGTTAGGGTTAATTGATAATCGAATGAATTTAATATTATTAGCGCCATCTGTGTCTTAGCCTACGAACCTTTTAGTCCATCTAGTAGTCTCCTTCTCTCAACTTCTGAACGGGACAAGATACTGAGTTCGTAATTTGCTAATTACAAAATGGTGTTTGATGACTCATTAACTTATTTCTCCAAAAGAAAAGGATGATATCTCTTTCAATAGCAATTTCAAATTTCCATCCGACATTTTTGGAAATTGGTATCCTGATAATGAAGTATTTTTACAAATTCATTTTTCAACATTTTTTTCCTTATTTCAAATAAATTGCCATTGTTCACTTTAGATGTTACGTATACCCCTAAAGGCATCTAGATGAGTCGTATCAAGTGATAAAGTGGGCTCTTCTGAGGAATCACGTCTACCTAATTACCGTTAGGTAGACGCTAGGTATATTGACAAAATCAATTGACATTCTAAATGATACTACGTTACAGCAAAATTGACTTCCTCTCAAACGTGGTCCCTTAGTATGGCTCATTAGTTCACCTAATATGACGCGTTCAGAATTTTTATGGAGATGTGGAGCTCATAAATATAATAGGAAGAATGTTTCTGGAGTAATTCCGTAGAAATAAGTCACCCAGTCCTTCAGAAACATTTTATAATGCAAGAAATAAATTTGTAAACGAGCTTAGGTCAGTACCTTTTTGTCATACAAATGCACATATTGTACTTCGTTTAACTCTCACACAAATCACACCTATCTCGAATTGGGTATTCCGCAAGGTTCCGCTTTGAGGTCTGAGAAACTGCAAAAGCATATTTCAATTATATTATCATCATTATTATACGATATATATCATATCATAAGGCTTCATCCGGATTACCTTTCGAATTGATCTCCACAGCTGCATATTTGTCACTAATGAACAGTCATCGTTTTATTGTACTTTTCTGAATACCCACACTCTCATATACAGAGAGCACAGAAAATTCGAACTAGTCTATTAAAAATTACAAAAATGTTTTGTGAAATAAATT